TATATGTACTCATGCTTGCTGACCAAAAATAGATATCACACCTGTAACCACATCCGAGGTTGCCTGAGCATCCCGCTGGGTAAGTACAAAAACACGATCTCCAGCCAAACGCCTACTTGATCCACTGCCACCAACACCGCTACCTCCAGTACTGCCTCCTCCGATACTGTCTCCTGGTCCTCGACCTTTGCCACTCACTGCTCCTCGGGACACCGTAGATGCACTGCCCATCGATGAACCTTGGGCGAACAATCTCTTGGCATATGTCCCTTCTGACCACATAAAAAACAACGCCGTGACATAACAGGTCCTGATCTTCCCATAGGACAGTTTCGTATAATGTGCCCAACCTGCTTGCAACAGTAATAAGTAATTGTACTCCCCCGAGTTTGTCCCATCTCTCAACCCGGTGCAAATGAAAATGATCCACTTACTCCCTGTCCTTGACCCTGGGATGGGACTCCTGATTTCTTCTTACTTGCACCCTTTGGAAACATTCCCTTCTAGGATCTGCTAAAGAAACTTCCCTTGGAACCCTGTCCACTTGGCTTATATCTTCCCCTTTTTTCCAACTCACTTGCACTTTTTATTTCCTTCAAATCAGCTTCCACAATTAAGGTTTTGTTGTATAATTCTGAAAATGTTGTTAATTCTAGCATCGAAATACGAAATCTAATATTGTAATTTAGTCCTATCTGGAATCTTCTGCATCTTTCCCCCTCATCTGCAGCAACAGAAGGCATAAATTTAGATAAAGTGTTAAATTTTTTCTCGTATTCCATCACTGACTGATTCCTGTGCTGCAGATGTAGGAATTCTAACATAATATACAACCCAACAAATAATTATATAGTTCCTCAATCAGTATCATTTACTCATTTAAAACTAAATATAACAAATAGAATATCATACTAATGTTGTACAAAACTTAACCCTTTTGACAGTGAATTGATTTGTGTCTCCTTCTCTTGTACCTGAAAATGAGAAGCTGTAGGGGTATGAGCTAAATCACGCGCTTAGTGAGTATACATGTCGTATAAGAAATGAAAATGATAGTAATACACAGAAGTAGGTAAATACTATGTAAATGCACGTATCAAACAACATCAATCCAATTTCAAAGAATTCACAACTCACAACACATCCATACTACCCTTCTTCAAGTAAACGATCCCACATGGATCGTGTCTCCCGAACCTCCCGGTAACACTATAATGCTAGCACACCACTGCACGCCCAGTGATCAAGCATCGACACTCCTGTCTTAAACAATCCCTCACATTCCACAATACACAATGCACAATACACAATACAAAGCATCATCCAATCACATAAAGCACATAACACATAATTCTGAAGGAATGCTATTAAATTCTATCATCTAACATCATCTTATAATAGCATTTTCAAAACATATAAAGATATACACACACCTCAAATATTCTGATTTACGTCCCTGTGGTTCTATCGGTGGATCCTTCCAGTGTTTTCGTAACCGTCTCTATACTGACTGTCCTACCTTCTTCTTGTTTTCTTCTTACTTTTGGTTTGACATGGAGTCCCCCAAATTCTTCTTTCTTTCTTTTCTTTTGTTTGTTTTCTTTCTTCTTCCTCTCCTTTACTCTCTCTCACTCACGGTTTCATATAGCTAGGACACACACTTATTTGTCTTTAAATACATTTACTTTACTACATATTAAAGTACACACACACACATTGTTCCATGCATTACACACACACACACACTTCACTATACCTGAAGACACGCACAAACACTTGGCATACACCCACCTACATACATAAATTTTAAAATAACCCACCACCTTTTATTTGACACATGTGTAAAGATATTACCATTCAATTTTAATAATTCTACTTGCCTCCCTTCAAATTTTTAAGTGATTCCAAAACTAACCCAATATTATTTTCATACAAAAATTCTATCTAATAATTAATTTCACATAATTACAATTAGTCCACATAATTATACTAATATGTATGCAATGCATGATTGAGTCTCACATTATGTGTTTAAAACATCTGAGAGATAAAATATATATACATATATATACATACACACTAGTTATTTTTCGTGTCTCAAGGCACAAAATAACAAAAAAATGGATCAACAATAAATATATTTGTATTCACACCCAAAATTAAATCACAAACATAAAGAAGAGATAAAAAAATTTAACTACCGATTATAATGAAGGTGAACGATGTTAGTGGTGGTGGGCGGCAGTGGTGATGGTGGGAGATGGTGATGGTTATGGTAGGTCGTGACAATCGTAGTAGTGGTGGCAGCTGTGGGTGACAATGGTGATGGTGGTGGTGAGTTTTGGGTGATGATGATGGTAGTGGTAGCCATCGGTTACGACAGTGATGATGTGTTTTGGGTAACGATGATGGTAGTGGCAGTTATGGGTGTCGGCAGTGGTAGTGGTGGGTGTGGGTGGTAGTAGACGACGGTGATGGTGGTTGGCAATGGTGAGGGGTGGGACGACGACGGTGGTAGTGGACAATGACGATGGAGGTGGTGGGTGAAGATGAGTGCTTCTAGGCGACAATGTGATTGGTGGTGGCGAATGGTGGCGATGACAAGTGTGGTGGGGGTAGGTGACAGTGGGTGGCTATAGTGGTGGGCGATGACGAGGGGTGGTGATGGTAGGCGTGGTGGGGGTGGGTGACAGTGGCTAGTGGTAATGGTGGACGACGACAAGGTGGCGGTGGGTTGTGGTAATAGGTGACGGTGGGCGACGATGATAATGGGATGATGGTGGTAATAATAATAAAAATATCTAAGAATTACATAATGATGGTGGTGGGTGGTGACAATGGACAACGATGGTAGCAATCAGTGGTGGGTGGTAATGGTGATGATGGGGCAGTGAGGGTGGGGGTGCAAGTGGGGCAGTGGCGGTGATGGGAGTGGTAGTGGTGGGTTGGCGATAGTGGGGCTAATTGTGATGAGCGGTGGGGGGTGCGGGTGGTGATGGGGGCAATGTTGGTAGTGGTAGTGATGGTGGTGGGGCAGTGGAGAAGGTGGTGGCAGTGGTGATGGTGGGGCAGTGGTGGTAGTGGGGCGATGATAGTGGTGATGACGGTGGTGATAGTGGTGGTGGTAAGGTGGGTGTGGTAGGGTGGCGATAGTGGTGGTGGTGGGGGTAAGGGTAGTGGTGGTGGCAGCGGTAATGGTGGTGGAGTGGTGGGGGTGATAGAGGTAGTGGTGGAGCGGTTTCAAACATATATTTTTTTTAAAGTACTCATGAGAAGTAATTTCTAAAAATACTTTTAAAAAGTTATTTCAAACACTCCCTTAGGGGCCTATTTTCTTATTAAATTTAAGATTTTAATATTAACCGTCAGATTAACTTTAAAGTAAAATTTAAAGAAATCTCAACCGCGAATAGGAAAAATAATTTTGTTTATCTTTTGAGATTTGAAGTGCATTGTACTTTATATATATATAATTCATGTTCTATTATGAATGACTTAGACCCCTTGTTTGATTTTTTAATTTTATTCAAATAGAAAAGTATAATTTTATACTAATTATGATTTTTTAAGCAAAAATTAAAATTTTATTTGTAATTTTATTTCAATAAATTATACAATAGAACATGAATTTCGGTTGTAAAATTTAAAATATTTGATGTTCTATTGATTAGAGTATTTTTGGTATAAGTACAATATTTTAAACTTAAGGGGTCTAAGTATTGTATACCGACAAACTTCAGAGAGTCTAAGTATAATTTATTAACTGATATATTTACAGCAGAAGTCTAAGTGTTAGGTGCGTACAAATCTCAAGAGGTCTATGTGTAATATTTCGAATGTCAGAGTGTCTGAGTAATTAAGTGACAAATTTCAGGAGATCTGGATGTAATTTTCCAAAAAAATTATCATTTAAACATAAAAAATAATATCATTTAAACACGAAAAATAATATTATTAAAAAATAAAAAATAATAGTATTGTATATTAGTATTTGAATAAATAATAGTAACATACTCAATAAAAAATAAGATTAATTATAAAATGTTCCCTTGAACTATGAGTCTTGTTTCAATTAGATCCCTCTGGTTTAAAATTGAACAATTTGTCCCATTCAAGTTTCAGAATGAGCAAAAAGACAGACCGAGATGACTGAGTAGGTGAAATTCCAAAACTATCCTTCACCCTAGTTGATGTATTGGCGCCAAATATTTAACCACAGTTAGGTAATCACTTATCATATAAATAGAACTCTAACCCAAATTTAAACTCATGAAACCTATTTTTTTTTAACTCTCTTTATCTTTTCTAAGATGCTTCTTGCTGTACACGATCTAAGCAAAGAAAGCAACGACATGAAGGGGATTGAAGGTTATGGTGCATGAACCATGTGGGCATTTTGTGTTGATTGAGTTCGAATGTTCGATTGTAGGTGAACCTGCTTGTAGGCATCTTGTGTTTGTGGATTGAAGGTTATGGTGCAATAAAGGTTTGTGGGCATCTTGTGTTGATTGAGCTCGAATGTTCAATTAAACGACGAATCCAGCTCATTTATCTTATGTTGAAGCTTTTTGTTTTGCATTTTGGGTTCATTGTTTGACATTGTTAGAACCATGTGATTTCTTTTGGTTTTATAGCTTTTTGTTTTGCCTTTGATTCCTTGTCTGGCATTTTGGGAACCATGTACTCAGACTTAGTTTTGTTCACCTTTATGGCAGTATCACTTTTTTTTTTTAGGCAGTATCACTAACTGTGGTCCCCTATTAAACAACTTTCACTATGTTTGAGCTTAAAGATAAAATATTTTAGCTCAAATTTAGGGCATCATCAAGGTTGATGGTCCCCCATTAAACAAATTTACTGAGTTTGTGTTGTTTTGTGCAGATGGAAACAAGTTACTTAACTTTGGAGTTTCAACATGGAAGGCATTTTGTCTTTTTTAGTCTTGTTTAATATACAATGGAGGTAAAATTAACAGGTTTGATAACATTGACCCAGATTTGATGTCTCAAATTGAGGTAGATGACATGGTGGAAACTCAAACTCTAGGTTATAATAAAGATACAAGATACGCAGTCTCCTATATGCTACCAGATGCAGATAGTGCAGATGGTTTAAGGTATTTGGCTTCGGACAACGATGTACTGAACATGTTTGCATGTTATGAGGGGAATGATATTATTAGGTTGTATGTAGTCACTGAGCAGATTAATGAAGGTAGTAGAGGTATATCTACTGTTATAGATAAATTTGATACTCCTACCTTTGATTATGAATTCAATACTGAGTATGGTTCCACTTTTTGTGATGTTTTGCCTGATACAGTGGTAAGATATGTTGACTTATTTGATTATTTATCAGATTTGGACTTGTTGTACTTTTATGATGGTGTGCCTGATGGGGTACATTCTTCTGGTATTGAAAATAGAAGTAGGGTTGACAAGGGAAAGTCAAAAATTGGAGAGGAATGTTCTGGTGTTGGGAGGGGGAATAGTTTTGATAAAGGCAAGGCCAAATTAAATGATTGCTTGTCTGATGAGGACAATGATCATTTATATAGTCCCCTTAACTCAGACGACGATGTAATACACGTGAGTATCAAGAATTCATGGAGAACACTAATATGTCTTATCCTAAATTGACACTGGGAATGATCTTTAGTTCAGCTACCATACTTAGGATGGCATTTAGATGACATGCTATTATGGATGGGTTTGACTTCAAATACCTTAGGAATGATGGCGATAGGGTCACAGCAGTGTGTTCACAGTCTTGTGGTTGGCGTATGCATGCATCACTCATGCAAGATAAGTTAAGTTTTCAAATAAAAAGCTTCAAGCCAACACACAATTGTACACGTACCTATCAGAATAAAAAAGCAACTGCGTCTTGATTAGCAATGACATATGTTGAGAAACTGAGAGATGATCCAGATTGGAAAGTCAGTGCAATGCAACAAAGTTGTGGGATTTTTACAAGGAGTAATACAACATGAGATGATACTGTGAGATGGTAAGAAAGGGCCAAAAAGAAAGGCACTTGAGATGATACAAGGCAATCACAAGGAGCAGTGCAACATGTTGTGGGATTACTGTGATATGGTAAGAAGAAGCAACCCTAATAGTGTTCTTTTGTTGAAAGTTGAAAGGTCAAGCTTAGAGATTTTACTTGTGTTTCAAAGATTGTGTGTGTGTTTAAGTGCTATAGGAGATGGATTTATGGCAGGATGTAGACCAATGATAGGTTTAGATGGTTGTCACCTAAAGGGTCCATATGGTGGACAAATGTTGCATTCGGTGGGGAAGGATGGTAATGAGGGGATGTATCCAATAGCATTTGTAGTGGTTGAGGCTGAAGCTAAAGACTCTTGGACTTGGTTTTAACTCACTTAACCGAGGCTATTGGTACTTCATCTGATAGAGGGTGGACATTCATTTCAGATAGGCAAAAGGTATGCAATTTTCATTTCACTTATACTTTTTCCATTGATGTGTATAACATAGTGCCCTATAACTAACTTCTGATTTGTGCATTGTTTTCACTAGGGATTGGTCGAACGTTTCAATACTGTGATGGCAGGAGTAGATCATAGATTTTGCTTAAGGTACATGTATGCCAATTTCAAGGACAAAGGTTTCAAAGGTAAGACTTTGAAAGATACAATATGGGCAGCAACATCAGCATATAGAGTTTTGGAGTTTGAGGAATGCATGAAAGAAATCAGGATGTTCGATGAAAAGGCTTACTGGTATTTGAGGGGCATAAACCCAACATTGTGGTCCAAGTCTTTGTTTTGTATACACCCCAAGACTGACACACTATGCAACAATGTGTCAGAGTCATTCAACATATTGATCTTGGATGCAAGAGACAAGCCATTTATCACAATGGTTGAGATGATAAGAAAAAAACTCATGAAAAGGTTACAAGAAAAAAGAGAGAGCTTGATGCATCACACCGGTTTTTTATGCCCTAAAATTCAGAAAAAGTTAGATGCACAAAAAGAAAAGGTAAAGCATTGCATAAAAATTTGGGCTGGACAAGGAGAGTATGAATTTGAGTGATTTGGTAAGACTTATGTGGTAAATCTGGAAAATCGAATTTGTACATGTAGAAGATGGGATGTTACTGGCATTCCATGTGGACATGCAGTGCCAGCCATCTCATTTCATAAAGGAAAAGCTGAAGATTATGTGGATGTTTACTACCACACTGAGACGTATATGGGAGCTTACTCCCAAATCATCCACCCAATTCCTGATAGGAGCCAATGGGCGTCATTGGGAATGGATGTGATCAACCCACCATTGTGGAGAAGACAGCCAGGAAGACCTAAGAAGTTAAGGAAGAAACAAGCTGATGGGGTAAAGAACCCATATATCATACGAAAGAAACAAAATTCTCTTCGTTGTGGTAAATGCCACAAATTTGGACACAACTCAAGGTCTTGCACTGCTCCAAAGAAAGTTACAGGCAGTGGCAACAGAAAAACTAAGACAAAGGTAAGATTATCATGTATTTCATCATGTTAGTAGATGTAAATATGTGTTTTAATGTTTACTAACATATACAACTTATTTGTCATAGATACATGATTCGGGAAAGAAAAGAAGTGTTGCAAAAACTGGGAGTAGTGATAAGAATTGATGCAGAACGTGATTAATTAAGTTAGCAGAATTATGTTGATTTAGTCTTTAACTGTTAACTAGAAAGTAGGAGAGGAGTTGCAGAAGACTTAGTCTGTAGTAGTTGCTTTTATTTAGGAATTAGTTGCTACTTTATAGGCATTGTGGTTATGGTTTTAGGTTATAAATAAAGGGTGTAATCAGCCTTTAATGATATGAGAATTGCAGAGTATTTCTTCCATTTTGAATTGATAAAGCTGTAGCTTTTTTTTTTTCTTCTCTCTGTTTTTTACTCTGTATTCAAACTCTTGGTGCCTTTGTCTCTCTTATTTCCAACAGTTTGTGGTATCAGAGCCCAGGTCTGATCCAATTGGGCTTATTTTTGTACCGCTTTCGAGATCAAGTGCAGTAGCAATAGCAGGACATCTCTTGTGCAGCTGAGGTGTTTGTGAAAAGGCTTCAAAAAGGAAGAATCATGAATTCTCTCAATGTATCACAAAACCAGTCTTTAGTGCCAATTTTCAATGGAGAGAACTACAAGTTCTGGAGCATTAAGATGAAGACTTTTTTCATCTCACAAGACCTATGGGAGCTTGTTGAATTTGGCTATGTAGATACAGCAGCTGAGGTGAGGGAGCTTCGTAAGAAGGATGCGAAGGCCCTGCTTGTTTTACAACAAGCTGTGACGGAGGCTATTTTTCCCCGTCTTGCAAATGCTGCCAAATCGAAGGATGCATGGGAAATTTTGAGGCAGGAGTTCCATGGAGATAGCAAGGTAACGATGGTGAAACTCCAAATGTTTCGTCGGGAATTCGAAACACTCCTTATGAAAGGTAATGAATCGGTGCAAGATTACATTACTAGAGTGTCTATCATAGTAAATCAAATGAAAACATTTGGTGAGAATATTTCTGATCAAAAAGTAGTCGAGAAGATTTTACGAAGTCTTCCTTCTAAGTGGGATCATGTAGTTACTGCTATTGAAGAATCTAAGGATATGAATACTTATTCTTTGAATGATTTAATGGGGTCTCTTTTAGCACATGAAGGTAGGATGAACAGGGCTGAAAATAAGAATCTGGAACAGGCATTTCAGTCGAATGTGGATCTTTCCAAAGAAAAATTTGGTGAAGGTGGTTCTGGATATACAGGAAGAGGCCGAGGCACTTATTGTGGTCGTGGTCGTGGTCGTGGACGAGGATACAACCAAGCTGGTCGGGGTTATCAAAATAGTGGTAGAGGCAACAAAAGGCAGGACCATCAAGACAAGCAATGCTATTCGTGTAAGCAATATGGGCACATTTCACCAAATTGCCCAAACAAGGCTCAGCAGAAAGCCAACTTTGCTAAAGCAGAACAAGAGGAAGGTAACCTGTTTCTTACATGCCTAGAGTCAAAAGCAAGTATGGGTGATATGTGGCTCTTGGACAGCGGCTGTAGTAACCATATGACAGGGGAGAAAAGTCTCTTCCGTAGCATAGACGAATCTGCAAAATCAAAAGTTCGACTGGGTGATAACAAGCAACTCCAAATTGAAGGCAAGGGAACTATTGGAGCTAAATTCAAATCAGGTATTAAACGATCTATTCATGACGTTTATTATTCTCCTGATTTAGCCCACAATTTGTTAAGTGTCGGTCAATTAGTTGAAAAAGGATATTCAATGTTGTTTGAAAATAATATGTGCGAAATTAAAAGAAAAGGGGTATCCGATAAACCTCTCGTTCGGATTCCCATGACTAAGAATAGGATGTTTCCCCTTGATCTTTCGTGTTTGAATGAGTGTGCATTGGTTGCTAATGTTAAAGACGATTCTAGACTTTGGCATTTACGATACGGTCACTTGAATTTTAATGGGCTGAAGTTGTTAAATCAGAAGCATATGGTGTTTGGTTTGCCCTCAATCCAATGCATTGATGAAGTCTGTGAAGGCTGCATTTATGGGAAGCAACATAGGTTACCATTTCCTGTCGGCAAAGCTTGGAGAGCCAAGAAGCCTCTTGAAATTGTTCATGCTGATATATGTGGCCCAACAAGGACCTTATCCTTCAATAAGAGTAGATATTTTTTACTCTTTACGGATGATTATACTCGTATGAGTTGGGTGTATTTTCTTTCTTACAAATCAGAAGCTTATGAAAAGTTTCAGGAGTTCAAAGCTTTTGCGGAAAAGGAAAGTGGGCAGGTCATAAAAGTTCTTCGCACTGATAGAGGGGGAGAGTTCTTATCCAATGAGTTCACCTATTTTTGCAAGAAAAATGGGATTCAAAGACAGCTAACAGTGAGAAAATCCCCAGAACAGAATGGTGTTGCCGAAAGGAAGAACCGAACGGTGGTGGAGATGGCTAGAAGCATGCTAAATGAGAAAGGACTGCCCAATGAATTCTGGGCTGAAGCAGTAGCTACATCCGTATTTCTTCTCAACATATCTCCAACTAAGGTTGTACGAAACATGACTCCCTATGAAGCATGGTGGAACCGAAAACCCAATGTAAGTCATCTAAAGATTTTTGGTAGCATTTCTTATTCTCTGATTGATTCTAATGACCGTTCTAAGCTTGATAAAAAGAGCGAGAAATGTATCTTTGTTGGGTATAGTGGTGAAACCAAGGGTTATCGGTTGTATAATCCAGAAAATGGGAAGCTCATTATTCGCCGAGATGTTGTATTCGATGAAAATAGTTTCTGGAATTGGAAAGAAGAACAAAATCAGCAAGTGCCTTTTGAGGATATAGTCGAGCCGACACAAGCAACAGAGAATCAAGTGTCACCACAGAGTTCTCCATCATCAAACTCATCGGGAAGGTCTACTTCAAGAGAATTAAATAATGAAGGCAGCGACAACTCAGATTCTGCACCTGATTCTGATACCCCTCCTCGTAAGTATCGATCTTTAGCAGAAATTTATGAATCATGCACATTTGCTTTGTTAAGTGCAGAACCTGTTAACTATGAAGAAGCACAAGGGAAAGAAGAATGGGAGCACTCTATGCAAGAGGAAATTAGTGCAATCGAAAAAAATGGCACGTGGGAGTTAGTAGACTTGCCATGTGAGAAGAAAGTGATTGGCGTCAAATGGATTTACAAGGTCAAATGCAATCCAGACGGAACCGTGCAAAAGTATAAAGCAAGGCTCGTTGCCAAGGGGTATGTGCAACAACAAGGTACTGATTTTATTGAGAACTTTTCTC